CGTTGGATTGGTAAGATAGACCAGTATAATTATGACATTGAATACAGAGAAGGAAAATCTCATGGAAATGTCGATGAACTGAGCCAAAGACCCTGCAAAAATGACTGCGGACATTGCTGCAAAAGAGAGGTTGAACTAACCAGGTGCCATCAAGCTGAAGTTAAGCTGACTGAAAGAGTTGATGATGCTGAAGTGGATCCAAATATAGACATCAAAGCAAAACAGGAGAAAGACCAAGATTTGAAGCCAATAATTGATTTTCTACAAACAAGTGTTTTGCTATAAGTAATAGAATAGTTTATATGTTTTGTCATTATGGCTTGATTAGGGACTAAAAAATTATTTAAAATCTAACTGATCAAACAGGCCTATATATTTTAAATAATTTAATCTATGTGACAGGACTAAGTAACATATTTAATGTCAATAATAATTACTTAAAATCCCTACGTTATCTGCATGCCTTCTTGGTCAGTTTGTATGTGTTTGTGGACTTTAAATTTTTTTAGGCCATGATGTAGAAACTTTACCTTGTATTGTAGTTATAGATAATATTTTTATTTCTCCCAAATGGAAATAACTCTGAAGTCCACTATGATCTTTAGTAAGGTCATTTAACCCTTTCATAACCTCATTCACACACACACAATCTCTTAACCCATTTAGCCACCCTATCAATTACATGTATACACATTTAATTAAGTCACTTTAGACCACTCATTGATCCACTCAAGTATACCTATGCATGTAAACAAGTTTACTTCCAACTTCAAAATTACAAGTCTTTTTATAATGTAAGTGATGTCTTATTGAATGAAATAGTTTGCCTGACATGTTGAAATCTTTGCTTGGAAAACAAAAGTCACTTCTAAACTATTTTTTATTTATTTACAACACCAGAAGTAGGTCCTTTCTTAATCATCATACTTGCATGCAATGTTTAAACCCATTCTCCTTGTTATAGACAAGTCTGGCAATTGAACCAGCTTTTTCCAGTTAAACTTAATATCGTGTGTTGAGACACTATCTATCTATTGACAACAATCATACAGTAAAGAACTTCAAACAAACCCCTCTCCCTAAAAGTTGAATAATAGTAATTAAACATTATGGATTAAATATATATATATAACACTTTAGATTCATTTTTTTTAAATAAATGAAAGTGGTAAAAGGTTTAGTTTTTATTTATGAAGACATTAATTAATTTTAAAAAATTCCTAGCAAGAGTTGAGAGGAAATGTATCTTATGTATTTGACAAAAATTTATCACAGTTTTATAGATTTAAAGTTTTGTTCCTTTAACAGATTTATAAGTGCCACTGAAAATTTCATTTTGAAGAATGTTTTTCAAGGAAATGTTTAACATCATATACGATGTTTTAAATAAAAAGTCACATTCTTTGTTATCAGAATTATTCAAAATTATTTGTTATTCAGTACTTTATTGTAATTTGTGATGTTTGATACAAAACTTTTGTTTAAATGTAAGACTGAACATTAGTAACCAAACTGTTTCTTTTAATTCAGAAATCCTGAGTAATGGTGCTTCACTTCACCAGAGCATTGTTAGTTTATTTGAAGGGACTCCTCCTAGCAAGGTGACGGTAGCTTTGCCCAATGCTGGTCACTGGAGGAGCCTACAGACTGTTTTCCCGCACATTCGTGAGGTAGATCTACTTGAAAAGCCAGTTGTTCACCCTTATTTACACTATAGAGGTGTTGTTGACTGTGTGGCTAAGTATAGGTAAAGTTGATCAATTCAATCTTATATTCCATTAAAAGAATTTTAGTTTATTTCTTGTGGTTAAGTAAACAGCTGGGCAATTAATTCAATATAATTTATTATTGTCACATAAGATAATCGATTAATGACAGTTGCAATTAAATCGATTGATGTCACGAAAATAATTGCTACAAGTTACTGTTTTTGATTTTTCTAACTATACAAGTAATCGAAATGCTGCCATTATGATTTCTCATTATTATTTTTGATTAGTTCAAGTTCATTTTAACTGATTTATGTCATGACTAACGAAAGTAATCAACGAATCGAAATTAGTGTTTCCAGTTATTACTAATTTCAATTATTCTAACTATCTTAAGTCTCATTTGATAATTATCAGTATGTTGAATTTACTTGATTAATAATCCAGATGAATAATTGATTATTAAATTCCACTAATTGGCCAGTTTTAATTAGGTAGATATTTCCAGAAGGACCTATATACACTATCTAAAAGATTTCTTCTAAACGTTTGGTTGCAAGCTGTATGATAATGAACTGCAGTATGTAATCTACCATATCACTGACTATAAGTTATATAAAAAAATGTCTATTAAGTGATGATTTAGATAGTTAAATTATCAGTAAAATGTTTTCAGTGATTGAAATATTTAATTGAATCTGAAAATTATATTGGTATGTTAATTAATTAATCTTTTCTTTTATATATACATCAGCTGTTATTTTATTTCTATGTTGTTGGTCTTTCATTTCAATTGATTTGTTCTGATCATCAACCTCAGTGCCTGAAAACATTCTTTCTTAATTCTTCTAGGCTTATGTGAGTTAACAATTTAATCATGTAGTCATTAGCACTATTGTAATTTTCTTCAGTCAGGCTGAGATGTTGACATTCTACCTCCATGATTGTTTGTTTGGTGAAAGAAAAGCAACCATTGTTACAAAATTTGTATCATTAAATTACCTGATACAGTAATATATATATTCCATATCTCCATACTTTCAGGTTATTACCTGTTGTCCAAACAGGTTGTACTGGTACTTTGATTCTCTCTATAAAATAACACAGTATTTGTGAAAGTAGATATAAACCTCATAGGTTTTTATAACAAGTGATTTGTGTAAACATTATGTTTTCAATCAGACATTTAAATCTTCTCAGAAACCAGCTGGTAGTAATTGACTGGAAAACATCTAAGAAACTCAAACCAACATTAGCCAAGACTTTTGACAGCCCCCTGCAGGCAGCTGCTTATGTTGGTGCTCTCAATTTTGACACAAACTACAGACTACAGGTGAGACAGTTTAAACCTGAAGATTTTTCTAAACTTCCTTCTGTTTTAGAAAAATGAAGCATAGGTTAATTGTCATCAAACACTAATAGTTGATTTCTTTCAAGTTTATATAAACAGACTCGATAGATATTATTTGTCCCTGATAAATGTAATATTTTCAAGGAGTTTTATAATAAATATCTTATTGATTGGTTAATTATATGTATAAGGTATATTGCTGTAAACTTGAAGGCATACACACATAGAGAGGACTGAACACTTGCAGGGATACAGAATACAAGTTTGTAAACATGCAGGGAATGTATTTACATGTTAAGTTGAGGACAAGTTTGTAAACTTGCAGGGACTGTATTTACATGTTAAGTTGAGGACAAGTTTCTAAATTTGCAGGGACTGTATTTACATGTTAAGTTGAGGACAAGTTTCTAAATTTGCAGGGACTGTATTTACATGTTAAGTTGAGGACAAGTTTCTAAATTTGCAGGGACTGTATTTACATGTTAAGTTGAGGACAAGTTTGTAAACTTGCAGGGACTGTATTTACATGTTAAGTTGAGGACAAGTTTGTAAACTTGCAGGGACTGTATTTACATGTTAAGTTGAAGGTAATTTTGTAAACTTGCAGGAACTGTATTTAGATATTAAGTTGAGGACAAGTTTGTAAACTTGCAGGAACTGTATTTACATGTTAAGTTGAGGACAAGTTCGTAAACTTGCAGGGACTGTATTTACTTGTTAAGTTGAAGATAAGTTTATAAATTGCAGGGACTGTATTTACTTGTTAAGTTGAAGAT